GATAATTTATTGCACTGAGCTGAGCTATGTAATTATAAATTACACATAGAAAAAGCAATATAAATAATAACAACAAGGAATGTCACTGATCTTAATCTAGTCTTTGTAGAAGTGAAGGTCTCTCAACAGCTGACATTAATTACTCTTGCAGAGCAAGAGCAAGAACTACAAAAGCTTTTCTGTTTTCTCACTTCTTTCTAGTAAACTGCTTGCTTCAGCAGACCAAAGCCCATGCTTAAGCTCTTGGTATACACCAGTTTAGAGTCAATAAATGTTACCTAGTGACTACTGTATACTGTAGAAAAGCTGAGGAGTCTAAAAACTACATTGAGTTCTAGGCAGGGAAAATTTGTAAGCAGTCTTAAGAGTTTCCAAATGTATTGGCAAAGGTTTCTGTGCAGGCATGCGTGTGTGAGGAACGCCTAACCTATTATGTGCAAATAAATAATAATGTCACCCTTGATTAAGTAATGAGTTGTGTACCTTACATTTGTAAAAATGGTAAAGAATCACAGCACAGGATGACATGGTTACTAACACCCTAGCTATTAAATCTTGCTACTAAAACATTAACTACAATATAAAATACTCAGCAGTGTTGTGATTTTTCCACTCCTTTTTTTTCCCGAATTTGAACACTAATATTCATAAGAGAATGATGTCATTGATTAAACTCATAACCGCTTTCTGCCAAAAAGAAAATAAACACATTGGAATGACATCTGGCATTAAAAACATGTTTCCTTAAAAACATGTTTATACTTTCTGTTTCTCAAGACACCAAGGACAACAATAAAATCTGTATTCTGACAAATTTTACAGCACCAAATTAGTACTAATTAGTACTTGGAATTTTAAACATGAAAATATTGTACTGTCAAGAGCTCTCCACCTAAGTGTATGTATACAGCTTCCACCACCAAAGTATTCGACCTACTTGTATTACTACTAAGAGTGACTAAAAATTCCAGTTGCTTTTGCTAAAATATTAATGTACTCTTTTTTATGGTAGCTGAAAGGACTTTTAGTCAGATAGGCATCATAAAGGTAGTTATATCCCCTGATCTATAGGATGAAACTGTGAAAGTGTTAACAATTATTGGTTATGGATTGATTTTGTGAATTTGTTTGGTTTGTGGGTTTTTATACTATTCTTTATTATAAGTTTAATTCAAATTACTCTTAAGATTATGTGACATTAATCAGCATCACAAAACAAAATTTTGACAGTTCTGAGATCCAATGGTAGCATCATGGTTTTTACATCAATGCTGATGCTGTCTAATTTCCCAGAAAATCGTGAAATGTTGGACAACTGATGCAAAAACTTTGTGGCACAAAAAATCTCAAGAAGCAAGATTTCCCTCTCCAACACTATAATAGCAATGAATTTAATAATCTTTCAGATACACTTATTTTTGTCAATTCAGCTATTCTAAGACAACAATGCTGGTACATTTGCAGTTTTAGAAGGAAGTTTACCCCAGACATCTTAAAAAATAAGACAATGTCCTCATCCTAAAGAAGAAAGACAGCTTCCTCTTTTGGGAAGGGTCACTGAAAAAAATCCTAATCTTGGAAATTAAATGGCAAGAGTTAATAAAATAAGACTTCTACTCAGTATGACAAGTACTTTACTCTTAAATCTTGAGAATAAGTTATGCCAGAAGGATTCAGCAAATTCCAAGAGCAGCACCCAACCTCAGCAATTTTAGAGTAGTGCCATGCAAAGAGGAAAGACATTTTCCTTTGGGGCACATTATGGTCCTATTATCACTATCTGCTGGGTACTTTTAAACTGAATTTGGAGGCAAAAATCCCTGCTCAGTAAATATATGAACAGTATATGTTAAAAACAGCAAGGTTTTTTTCTCTCACAGTGTCACATTTTGTTTACTCTGGAGAGAGCTTCTCCTGTGCTTTCGTATTTCATGGGCCCAAGAAAAGGAACAGCTAGAGTGGCAGAGCTCAGAAAATGCAAAAGGCTTAAGTGCTTTAACTCAGAGGTTTAAATCCTCTCCCCATAAAGACACACATTTTAGAGGAACAGGGAATATAGCTAAAAAGTATGGAGTGGCAACACTCTTTCTTTGTTACCTCCCTAAATATTAAATCTTCACTTGCAAGGAAACAAGGCTGTCACATGAGGAATATTGGAGAGTTACAGGCTGTGTGGTGCAGCATTTGGTCTCTGTTCCCTTTCCCATTTATCAGTTTTATGGATGGTTAGAACGAGGAAAAATAGAAAGAGGATCTCAAGAGAAGAAAAATGCAATGGGGTAGGATATCTCCTAGGTAAATAGGACAAGCTGTTTCAATTCACACAGAATTTAAAACTCCTCAGTAATGAAAGCTCTATCATGTGCAGAGGTAGAGCAGTAAAACAGAGAAAACCTGTGATTGACAAAATGAATCACTTTGATGCATTACTCTTAGATTATGATCCTCTTTCCTTTGAGGTCAACACTATGATTCCATTGAAATCTAATTTCACTCTCAAACTACTCATCCATCCCAGTAAAGGAGAGAACAGCACTGTGCTAAGTATGCAGCTGCACTTTTAGCAGACCTTCAGTCAAAATCAAACTTCCTTGATGCAGATGTAAAAAATTTAATGAGCCAACATAAGTCTGGAAAAATATAGAGATTTTAGTTATGACAAAATAGTAAAGTGGGCTGTTTTGACCTCTAGCAGACCATTTTTTGAACTAAGTACTTGCAATTGAAAAGGATAAATCAAGGAGTAGAGAGAAAAAGAAAAAACCAAAAAGGTTATTCAGTGTAATAGTTAGACAAAAGGTTTCTTATTAACAATGTGTTTTTTTCTGAAAAGCACAAACTAGATTAAGCAGAGAATCATGAGAGCCATCAGAGAGAGATCCAGTAACAACAGAAATTCCAGCACTGTGCAGATTTATTTTTTTGGGAAATCTGAGATTCTAACATCAACTGTTTTTACTGCATTATCTCCTTTAGCATCAGCTGGAATCTGACATGAATCCATCAGCAGAAAATCTAGAATTCCTACATTGTCAGAATCTAACAATATTAGTCTCAGTAGATCTTTTACAAACAGTTGTCTTCAATGTTGTTCCAATATACAATAGAAACAATATTGCTTTCATGTTGAAACAAGTACTTTTTATTGAGGATTCTTTAAGATTTATTATTTTAAACTATATGAAACATAACAAATATGCTAAAGAATTTCTCAGTAGTACTGCTGAAATAAACTATCACAGCACCAAATTTAGGGCAGTGGGCTATGTACCAACCATTCACAAAGTAATGTCCTGACTGATTTTTTTAAAATAAAAATATCTCTAATGTCTTCTGGGTCTCAACACTTTGCTGTCCCTACAAACCCCTGTAAACAGTGCAAAGACAGGCTATGCACTCAGAAGCAGATAATGCATGTCAGATTTTCTCTTCAAAATAGTCTATATAATTCAAAATAACTATTGCTTGAACTATTGAAAACAAGTATGTGCTTAAGGAACGGTTAGAAATGCTAGCCTAGAAAGTTTGCTTTGGCTAACACAGTTTACCTTAATATGATGGTGGAAGGCGGAGGGTATAATCCAAAGCCACCTACGATTATGAGAGTGCTTGTTAAACATTTCTTTTTCATGAAATATGTAGTTTGGTTGTTCCTTACCTCTGTTTTCCCATTCTCTGCTGATTTACTGCATGGCTTTTATATAGGCAGCTGTCTGTTGTTGTGAAAACAATGCTGAACTTGCAGCTTTATTTTAATTCTAAAGCTGAACTGGTTTTAAGATGGAACTTAGCCAGCATCTGAGAAGAGTTATGTGACATGACTCACTGTGGGAGAGAGAAGGGGACTATGGGCTGTCAGTCCCATCCTCTACAGAAAAACTATAGAATGGCTAGAATGAGTTCTTTTACCTGAGGTGTTTTTCCTTTTTTTAATAAAGAAATTTACGTATGATACTCCAAAATATTTCAGTCTTACCAAGAGACAATAGTTTTGAAAGTGAATTTAGACAAGAGCTTGCTACTAAGTTTCGCAGTTTTTTGCTTTCCAAACCTTGCAGGAAGCCATTGACTACAAAGCTATGAAATGAAGTATGGGCATATTCTTCTTGAAGGACCAGGGACTGTACCCTGCTGCCAGAGATGATGAGGAGAATCATTTTGGTTGGTTGTACCAGACACCTGATTTTTACAGAGGTATCTGGTTTTCACTCATTTAAAGCTGACTCATTAACTTCATTGAGAGTTTACTCATCCAGACATGCCTCTTGTTAGGGTTTCAGAAGATGGTTAAAACAATAAATAGTACAGGAAGAAAAGTTTTGAGCTTTCTGTGAACTTCAGCAGAAATTAGCTTTACTAGGTGCTTAGAAAAAGCTCCTCTTTTGTTTGGTATATCTCCAAAGGTTAGTAGGATAAAGTTCAAAATACCACTAACTCTTAATTTCCTGAGAGCAATCCAAATGTGATAGAAAATGGTATGTAAATAATACTGTGGTCACAGACAGGATGCCATAAAAAATGTGATGGTGGGAAAAACTGAGGTTAGATGACAGTTTTGAACAAGAGAAACCTCACTCTCCTGGTGTGTGGAATTTCCAACTCAAAAAATTAAACAAGTTTTACACTTACATAGTAACAAACTCCTCTCTGCATTTGATTCAGCATGTTACCTCAAGAAGCATATAATGATAATGATAATGATAATGATAATGATAACAACAACAAGCCTAGGCAATGCCAGAATCAATATCTTCTTGAAACTTCATATAAATGTAAAACTGTCACCCAATTCAGATTACTGATATGCTTCACCTTTAATGCCTACTCTTTTGTTTATATAAATTCTTAGACACAGCTATAAAAGAATAAATATGTAGGTTACTATTCCTTTTACCCATTTGGTAATAAGGAACAGCTCCTTAGCAAGACATCCCAATGCAGTTCTTCATAAAAAAATACAAGCTACAGAATGCAATGGAAAATCAAAATATTAAACATACCTGCAGAAGTAATCGCTCAAAGGCAAGGAAATTGTCCCATTTGGAAGTTTGGGGGTGTTTCAAAGTCTGGACTGTGGCCAGCACAAGCTGTAGAAGACCACAGTGGTTCTCCAAAGCTTTGAGATTGTTTCGGAAAAGCTGAATGTATGAGCTGAGCTGTTCGGGGGTGACTCTGCCTGTAGAAGGGAAAACAGGACACAGCATTCAGTGGAGACAAATGCAAAACTACATTTTTTAAATTACTGTGAAAAGGTTATAGAGAACTTTAGAGGCCTCTCCACTATGGATCTGATCTTAGCTTTGCTGCAATCACTGGGAGCTTCAGCTGCAGCAACAGGTCTGGAAAAAGACTTACATCATCCATGAATTGTGCCTTGAGATATGCAATATGGTAGGTTTTTAACAATGTACAACAGATGGTGACATAAAGGGTAATACTTTTGTTTTCAGACAAAGAGGGACATTCATTTCAGCTAGGGAAATAATATTTGATGACTACTTCTAAACAATCTTTCTGTTTTTACCAGAAGTCCAATGGCAATTTGTGAGCTTTTTACTTTACAGCAAATTCAAATCTTCTCACCACTTCCTGAGGGTACATTTTTTGATTAGTCTTGACTCAAGAAACAGATATAATGTTAGTGATGCAAGGAATGACTTTTGGAGCTGTTCTTGGAAGGGACATTTCCAATGTGTGACCCTTCAGTTTCTGACATGCAGTAACCACAGCATGATTTCACCAGCTGTTTGAAAATAAACACCCCAATGCCCACTCATGGTCCTGTAGATCTTTTCTTATTAGAAGAGCATGAGGGGCACCATTTGGGCCAGATGAACATTACAGGATTAGCTGTTTATTCAACATTAAAATGCCAGCTGAACTGCTCAAGCAACTTGTATTTTGGAAGGGATCTCTTTCAGGAAGGAAGGCAGCTCAACTATCCCAAGAAAATCACCACAGATGCCAATTACACATGCCATCAACAGACAGGCAAAAATGGTGTCAAAACACCATCCTAGCTGCAAGTCTGGATTGTGACCCAGGCCGGGGCTGGTTCCTGGAAGCCTCTGCCAGTAACAAGTCATCTTCCTCAAGCAAACCAGACCTAAAAAGCAGGGATATATGAGCTAGAGTAAGGAGGATCCTTTAACTTAAATGGGACAGTCTTTGGTGCCAGGAAGTCATGAGGGTGTCCTGATGCTTATTGGTTCATAGCTTACAACATTGATAATTTCAGTCAGAATTTTTCCATAAAGGAAAAAATCTTGTAAAACTGCCACTGTGTTTCTTCTCTGTGTTAGGTTATATCATCACTTAACAAGGCTCCCCATCTGCCTTCATCGTTTCAGTATCATATAAATGGCAAATAAATAATTCCAACAGTGAATAAATGTTGAAAGCTCTTCCTCTTAGTTTCAGTGATATCAAGGGCGGTCTTTGGAAGAGCATTTAGATTTGGAAAAGCTGCTAAATAAAGCAAAAACACACGGGCTCTTTATGTGAATTTTAATGGAAAGCATCAAACCAAAAAGTCAGCAAATTAACACACAAATCAAGCTGACACCACTCAGTGGGCCAGAGGGCTGACAAAAGGCTTCCACGGTTAGCCCACATAGGCTAAAACAGCAACCATGGCCATGTGTGTTTTTAGACTAAACACTGGAGCTTTCAGTCTTGTTTTATTTCTTTTAAAGCTGTGTCAGGCAGATTTACACGGTGATTTGAAAATGTCAGTCCATGATGCCTTGCAGCATACCTTTGATAATGACTGCATTACTACCCAGAGCAGTGCTAATATATTGTAGCATATTCAAAATCTGATAACTTGCTTCAATTGAGAAAACGTGCAGTTGCCAGCCCTTCCTTCATATGAATCAGGAAAATAGGAGGACTTTCAAGACTTCTGATTTCAATTTAAAAAAAAAAATTCAAGAGTTTTGTTCCACATTGTTCCTTGTGAAAGCGAATCCAGATGAAGCACTGGATCAGTTTGAGAGCCATTCAGCACCATTTCAGATAAACAATCAAATTCTTTCCCACCCTCAGAATACCACCAAAAGAAAGTCCAACACATATGTAAGTACAAGGAAAATCCTGACCTTAGCAAGTCATTAACAAAACTTATACTGGCATTAAGGAGTGCAGCATCTCATCTGTGATATTTACAATACCCCTAGAACCACTCAGATCCAGGATTTGAGAGTTCCAGCCAACTTCTACACAGCCATCTCCCTGGACAGCTGGCTGATAAATACAGTTCCAGTATTCTACTATTCCAGTAGCTGAGGAAAGGAATTTGGGAAAGTAATTGGTGGTAATCAGCAATTAGATGACTTTTCCTGAGACCTAAATCCTCATCATCTTCCCGGCTGCTTGCTCACAGAGGGAGATTTCAGCACAACAGACTACTGCTAATCTTATTTCAACCCTACCAGCCCTTTGGGTTTTTCAAGTCCCTCTGTTGTTTCAAATTGTTTTATTGCAATGTTGCAGATGGGTCGTAAGAAATCAAGAGGAGATCTATTTCAACCACATCATGTCTTAACTGTCATTTTGTTCTCTTAAAGCATATTTCAAGGTTCACAGGCAGAACATGGCAACTACTGGCAAAAGGACTTTAGTGCAAGTGTCTTGTCCTGCTCTCTTCTTCCTGCTCCATCACATTCATACACCTCTCCAAACTCTAGATCCATGCAGAGTCACAAGTCTGTGTGGGCATCAAAGCCTGACTGTGAGAAATACGTTATGCTGACAAAGCACTTGATAATTTTTAAATTCCTGAATGAGAAAAGGAAAATCTTGATCTCAACCACTGTTAGGATTTAAAAATACTGATAACCTTTTTGAATAAATGCCAGGAATTCCATATTGTCTAAGAAATAACCTTTGCCATTAACAGTTATCAAGCAGAATGTGTGAAACAGGTATATTTGTCCCAAACTCAGTCAACTACATCCCAATACAGGACTTGAAAAAATGACGTCTACTGAAAGCAATATTAAAACAAAACAAAAACCAACCACACACACACACACAAACAACTACAAACCTCAAGAATAACAACAACACCACCACAAATCACCCCAACACTTTGAAGCCTCAAGCCTCTTCACAAGTATAAGAGAGAGGATAAAATCAGTAAGGTAGTCACTGGGAAGTATCACAGAGAAACCCAAAACTTAACAGAATATAGGAGGATGGGAAGCAGGTAAGAAAAACCGATTAATGATATGTGGAAACTACTTCAGATAAAAAACAACAAATGGCTAGTTTGGCACAATTAACATATTTGTGCACTAAAGAAATTATCTTGGGAAACAGAATGAAATAATAGGGTAGGATATGAGAATGGATATTACAGAAGTAACAGAAACATGACAGGCTAGTGACCAATCTCACTACTGAGGGACCTGTCCTATGCAAAAAACACTGAACATCAGTGTGATGAAGCAGTCCTGTGTTTAAGGGCTCTGATGAATGGAAGATAAAAAGTAAGACATAGCAGAGACTAGACTAGCCCAGGAAAAGAGAAAACTAACATTTGTGTCAAACAAATGATGAAATTAGCTACATTACTTAGCTGATATCAGGACAAATGTCCAAAAAAAAAAAAATCTTGCATCACATGTAAAAATGGGATAAAATGCAAAGTACATTTATCAAAGAACATCATGTCAAATTGAGATGTAACCAACCAACAAATTAATTACAATACAAATGGATCTAACATAGCATTAATTGTGCCCTAACCATATTTGAGTGGGAATAGAATGGGATTACAAGAATTGTAAGATACCTAAGAAACACCCAAAAACAGATGGCAGGTAATATGCAATAGAAAAGTACTAGTATATAAAAAGAAAAGATAAAATAAGAGTGCTCTGTGTGATTGTACATATTTATAGTACAAATTTTGGTAATAAATGGTGCCAAAACAGGTGCTGTCAGAAGCTGGTGGAACATCATTAATATGGAGAAAGAGCAGCCAGCAGATCTGGATTGCTTTGAGTATTGGACAAATGTAAGTAGGATGAAATTTATCAGTATAAAAATGATGCATGTTGGGGTTAGGGTAGAGCTATAAATGCAGAGTTAAAACCTGGAAATGACAAAAGAAGGAAATAATGTCTAGGTTTGTTCATTGTAAATGAGCAGGTACAATTCCTTTCAAGTGATACAGTTGTAGTAAAAACAGAGGCCATAGAATGCTTCAATATCTAGAGGCCATAGAAATGTCTCAATACAAAGTCTCTCCCTCCAGGAATCTCCTCTATGCAGCTCAAATCACTCCCATTCCTGGAAGTTTAACTCAAAACTGTGTTGCATGCACAGAGAGGACACTATAACAATTAGGATGACAGAGAACTAAAGTTAGGAAAGCAAAACAGAAATGTCTGGCTTTCCCTGTATCAGCTGGAAAAAAAAAATGAGGCCTCTTTGAATACATAAAAGATATTTACATGAAAGCTAAATACTGGTACTACAACCAACAGGGATAAATAATACATGAATATATTTACGCACAACATTAAGAAACATCACTGTATCAATCAGTCTTCCAGTAGTGGAGGGAAACAAATATAACTTGCTCTAAGGTGAGTTTTGATGAGTGTCTAATGAGCAGCTGCATAAATGATCACAGTCTTAATTCAATATAAATGGACCCTTTCAATCCTTTATTCCTATGGTAATTAATTTGTAAAAACACTGGCTGAATTCCACCTCCAACTTTCAAGAATTTAGAGCAGATCCCAAAAGAACTGCAGAACAATTTACTTACTTCTCAATTACAGAAGGTGCTGCTTGGTTTTGTTTTTATTTTTATTAATAATTAATTGAATAAATAATTTTTTGCTAAATATGAAAACAGCAGCACTGAATATCAACATTTTCAGTGTTTTACCACATCAAATATATGCAGTTCATAATACATGTACAAGTGATGTCACGCACAATTAGTCTGAAGGGAAGTAGTATTTCTGTTACTGGCAAAGCAGATCACTCAACATAGACATACTGTAGCAGAAATTACCAGCAAGTGATGTTAAAGGTCCGTCAAAAATCTGGGTTTGAGTAGTAAAAGTAGGCTGAGTGGAACAGAAAGACTTTCACCTTAACAGTTAAACAAAAACTCAACTGGACAAACCACATTTGTAGACATTAAGACACAATTTA